GGATAGCACTGTCATCACGGCAACTAATCTCCTTTCTTGTCTGTCAGCTGTCTCTTTCGCCAACGGGGATATAGAGAGGAAGAGGGCGGAAATATTGCATGGGAGAAGGGAGGAAGGAAGGAAGGAAGGAATTTTCATCATTAATTACTTTCAAAATTATTATCATCATTTTCGTCATCTTCATGGTTATCGTTATGATTGTCATAGGTATAGGTATTACTGTTCTTGATATTGTTGCTATTATTGTTGTTTTAATTAACATATTACACTGTGACTTTTATCAATACTATTATTATTGTTAGTATTATTATTATCTTTATCATTATCATTATCATTCTTATCATTATCATTATTGTTGTTATTAATATTCTATCATTTCTCATTACATATCATTATCATAATCATTATTATTTATTATTTCTATCATTGTTATTTATCATTTTTTATCATTATTTATTATTGTTTTATTGTTATCATTATCATTATTACTATTATTATCATTGATATTATTGTTATTGTTATTATCATTATTATTAGTATCATCATAATTATCATTATCATTATTATCATTATCATCATAATTATTATCATCATTACTTTTATCATCATTATCGTTATTATTGTCATCATTATTATTACCATCATATTCGTCATTATTATCATCATTGCTAATCATTACTATGGGTTGTTATTCCACTGATCTTATCATTATTAGAATAACTAACGTTCATTATTATTCAGTTGAACAATGGAAAGGTTAGGGAATGTAATAAAAAAATAATTTTGACATAAAATGCACGTTAAATGAATTCGTGTTGATAATTATGAGAGTGAAAATAAAATGAAATAAAGATAGTGTTCATATCAATAAGAAATCTTAGAATCAAATATACATTTATTGAAAGTAAGTCTAGAAACAAGACTTAGCACATAGCAACAGCAGTAAAAGCTAAAAAAATAAAAATAAAGATAGTGTTCATATCAATAAGAAATCTTAGAAATAATGTTAAGAGGAACAACAGTAATAATATTGATATAAATTCATTCTCTATTTTTTTTCCACTGGCCGGATTGTATATTTAATTCATCAGTGTATCATATGTAGTACTACTAGGAAATCTGATCAAGAAATAAATGTATTTCACCAATGCATCACGTGGAAATACTAAGAAATATTATCAAGTGACAAAAAGAAAAACATATCGCAGTTAAATGTCACAGCGTCTTTTTTATTTCTTTCTGTAAAACACTGTTGTTGACAAGAGAAATATCACTTTGGATAATAATGACTATTCTTGTCTCTAGCGACTTTTATAACACAAACCCGAGGATATTCGCTTGGGCGGTCATGTCTTTAACAGTCATGCATCGGACCGTAAGAAAAAAAATCAAGAAAATATCAGGTACGAATTTTGCAAATATGTGATTCATGGACCAGTAATTTTTTGCAAATACATGCAACCTTCAAGCACATAGCAACAATTATAAACAGAACAAGAAACATGCTTGTTCGTGCGAGACAGTAATACATCCCGGCAACAACGAACGCGGAAAATGGAAAAGCAAGATTATGCTGATCCATTTGTGACAATAACATTTACTAAGTAATGTCAGTTCCGGCTACATGATGCTTTTATAATTCTCGAAGACACCGCCATCTTATTTTTTTTTATTGTCGAGCACCTATGACATTCCCCTGACTACGTTTCTCAGATTGAAAAGCATACACTCTGTCATTAAAATTCCCAAATATTCGGATTACTAAATAATTCTAATCATTATTATTACTCGTACTGATAAAAAAATACATATATTACCGCTTGATCGACGGCATCTTGAAGGTAATTCTGGGTTCGTACAGCCTCAGGTTTCCGAGACCGAACCGCGGGAAACGAAGCCTCGCCGTTCCCATCGGTAGGGCTCCATGAAGCGCTTCGCTACGCCATGAAGCGCTTCACGGGGCCATGTTACTGACCTCCTTGTCACTTGTTATGGGCAGAGGGTGGATGTCCTCGTGAGATTTACATAATGTAATTTAGCAATAAGGACCGAACATGTTAAATGGACAATTTGCATAGATTCAATTAAAGTAGACGATGTAATAAAGATTTCTGACAAGGCGGAGTCCGTGACAGACACGACAGCAACGAGCTCGCTTTGTAATGACATGTGGCTAAGACACAAAAACATACATACACATGTGTATACTCCGCCTGTCTCTCTGTCCATGTATATCTATCTATCTATGTGTGTGCATTAGTTATTTATGTGCACACACACACACACACACACACACACACACACACACACACACACACACACACACACACACACACACACACACACACATACACACTCACACACAACACACACACACACACACCCACACATATATATATACATATCTATCTATATATCTATCTATCTATATATATATATGTGTGTGTGTGTGTAAGTAGAAATGAGTTGGAGGATAAATAGAATAAAAGCGGGAAAAAAA